ATAAAATAATTCGAAGTGGTCTGTATTCTGTCGAAACTGCCAGACGCGGATCGCGATTTCGATCTTTTTGGATCTCATCAGCGCGTCGCAGGCAGCTCCGACAGAACACAGACCAACTTTTACCTGCAGTCTTAACAGCGCGTTTTAGAAAATACCACAAATGGCGCGGTAAACGCCATCTGCAGTACGATGCTACATTTCAGGATTACGTATGCTCCATTTAAATGGACCTTGTTGGAGAGTCCCTCTACTTTCAACCTACAGTTAGCAGCGAATATCGATAGATAACTATATGCTCCTGGTTTGTTGATATGTACAAATCATCTATCTACATAATCATAAATTATTAAGGATTATGAGAGAATAGAAACACTGGATCTCTATCAATATTCAACACTTCCTCTTATTCTAATAGAAATGTTCGTTTTATGTTGCAGGTCTACAACGCACCCCTATTATCCTTTCAACGATGAGTACTAAGGATTACTACTCCTTAATTAACAGGCTTGTATTTACTTGAATGTTAAAAGACACCTACTTAAATTAAAAAGCACTACATGTATCTTATTCATATTAATCAGAGTTAATAAAGACAATAATTACTCAACTGTTTCTTTGGTTTGTTGTATAATGACTACTGTTTATATTTCTCCTGTATTTATTTAATTTTAATTTGAATATAACAGAAACAGGATTGTATGAAAATTAATAAAAATAAATCAAAAATACTAGTATGCAAGAATAGAGAAAGTAGGAAAGGGGCGAATATAAAGATAGAAGACGAAAAATTGAAATGAATTGAAAAAAGTGACTAATTTTCGGTAGCTATCTTGGAAGTCATATAAGTCAGGATAGAGGAGTAGTAGGGATATAAAGCAGAGGATAAAAAGAAGTGTTTTAAATGTGGTGTAACAGGTAAATGATGAGGATACCGTGGATAGAGAGAACAGGAACACAGGACTCTATGGAAGTCAATAAGAAATAGACAAGATAGGTTGGTAGGACAGCTTCTCGGGCATGAAGGGCTAGTTAGAGACATATTAGAGGCAGAAACAGGAGTTAAATTGAATAGTTAAGGATGCCTGATGTTCTAGTTTTAGGGAAATGCGAAGATTAGCTGAGGATATGAAAGAGTGGAGGAGCGTGTCCAACCACTGTTAGGACTGACGACCTCACGATCATGATGAATGCATAGTGAACATTATTTGTAATTAAAACTAGGAACTGTTTATTAATTTACTGTTTAATTATTTGGGGAATGAAATTGGCGATATACTTAATAAGTAACTTATTTCTAATAAATAGATACATCACGTAAGAGCANGAATTATAGTGTATGAAAATTGTCAAAATAATCAAATTTCAACCCCCATAACTTTTTATGGGGGGTGAGACCGCCACGAACGTTTTATGGTACAGTGGTGGGGGAGATCTCCTCTTTCCATCCCACCCACCCCCACCCCCGAAGAGCCATCATCTAGACATTTACCTAAGTTACGAAGGCTTGTATTTTACTGGGCGTTATTTTAATGTCTATTTTGTCAGTATTTCTATGTTATGGGTTAGTACCTATACATTTCAACCCACACGGTCAATATCTTGGTCGGTAGTCAGTATTTAAATATGAACATTGCATTGGCTAGCATCTATACCATAATATCTCAACAGCAATCAGAAGAATTTGAAATTAAACAAAAAGATCAAGGTGACTGTAGCTTCTGATGATGAGACGATCGAAAAACAAATAAATATATTTAGTAGTCACATGTTTAGTATGGTATTAGGTTTTGAAAATCATTTTTGTTTGCATGAAAACGTTCAAAAGAAAACGATAATTGAAACCTGTTGATAAACGTAAAATGATAAGTTATTAATATCGTTCGCAATTTATTACATATTTCATGATACTTATTTAATAATACAATAACTTTGAACACTTGAAACCACTTAACTGATATTCTTATTTCCTTTAAAGATAACTTCAACTACTAAGAACGATCTACGATACAAAAATGTGAAATCTGATCAAAAATATCATAACAAATTCTTGATATTTTCTATTTTGATATTTCTAAAAACAAAGTTGCTTTACGGTTTGTTATTGTAATAAATTAGGTAATCGTTAATTGGTATGCATGATCTGTATTGGACAAGAGATTAATAAGTTTCCCTTTTTTTGCTAAGGTTGAATGCCATCCGTATCTTAATCAAAAGAAACTTGCTGAATTTTGCAAATCAGAAGGAATCACGATCACCGCGTACAGTCCACTTGGATGTCCGGATAATCCGTGGGCAAAACCAGACGATCCAAAGTTATTGGATGACGCTAAACTAAAAACCATTGCCGACAAGTATAAGAAAACCCCTGCTCAAGTAATAATTAAATGGCTAGCCCAAAGAGGCATTATTACCATTCCAAAGTCAGTAAATAAGAAGAGGATTCAAGAGAACATTGACGCGTTTGATTTTCAACTGGCTTCAGAAGATGCTAAATATGTCGACTCTTTCGACTGCAATGGTAGAATATTCCCGTTTGAATGGTAAGTGTATGTGTAGGTGTAGAAATGTAAAATCAAAACCAAATTATTTAGTAATGGTAAGGAATCAATGTACTCTACGAAATTACAATTACTTTGTGTCGGTATTAGGTTGCCGTAGCATTGAAGGCAGAATCGATAAAGGACTATACAATTGTGACCACTTAAAATAGGCCTATCAAATGGGTCAAGTTAATATTTTAGTAAATCAATATAAGGAATTCCGGATTGAATACTTTATTTTGTTTACAATAATATTTCCTCCAAGAAGTCATTCTCAAGAGAAAGTATAGAGAGAAGAAATTTTGCGTTTATTTATAGAAGCACATTAATCAATAAACACTAAGTTCTTGAATAAAATAATTCGAAGTGGTCTGTATTCTGTCGAAACTGCCAGACGCGGATCGCGATTTCGATCTTTTTGGATCTCATCAGCGCGTCGCAGGCAGCTCCGACAGAACACAGACCAACTTTTACCTGCAGTCTTAACAGCGCGTTTTAGAAAATACCACAAATGGCGCGGTAAACGCCATCTGCAGTACGATGCTACATTTCAGGATTACGTATGCTCCATTTAAATGGACCTTGTTGGAGAGTCCCTCTACTTTCAACCTACAGTTAGCAGCGAATATCGATAGATAACTATATGCTCCTGGTTTGTTGATATGTACAAATCATCTATCTACATAATCATAAATTATTAAGGATTATGAGAGAATAGAAACACTGGATCTCTATCAATATTCAACACTTCCTCTTATTCTAATAGAAATGTTCGTTTTATGTTGCAGGTCTACAACGCACCCCTATTATCCTTTCAACGATGAGTACTAAGGATTACTACTCCTTAATTAACAGGCTTGTATTTACTTGAATGTTAAAAGACACCTACTTAAATTAAAAAGCACTACATGTATCTTATTCATATTAATCAGAGTTAATAAAGACAATAATTACTCAACTGTTTCTTTGGTTTGTTGTATAATGACTACTGTTTATATTTCTCCTGTATTTATTTAATTTTAATTTGAATATAACAGAAACAGGATTGTATGAAAATTAATAAAAATAAATCAAAAATACTAGTATGCAAGAATAGAGAAAGTAGGAAAGGGGCGAATATAAAGATAGAAGACGAAAAATTGAAATGAATTGAAAAAAGTGACTAATTTTCGGTAGCTATCTTGGAAGTCATATAAGTCAGGATAGAGGAGTAGTAGGGATATAAAGCAGAGGATAAAAAGAAGTGTTTTAAATGTGGTGTAACAGGTAAATGATGAGGATACCGTGGATAGAGAGAACAGGAACACAGGACTCTATGGAAGTCAATAAGAAATAGACAAGATAGGTTGGTAGGACAGCTTCTCGGGCATGAAGGGCTAGTTAGAGACATATTAGAGGCAGAAACAGGAGTTAAATTGAATAGTTAAGGATGCCTGATGTTCTAGTTTTAGGGAAATGCGAAGATTAGCTGAGGATATGAAAGAGTGGAGGAGCGTGTCCAACCACTGTTAGGACTGACGACCTCACGATCATGATGAATGCATAGTGAACATTATTTGTAATTAAAACTAGGAACTGTTTATTAATTTACTGTTTAATTATTTGGGGAATGAAATTGGCGATATACTTAATAAGTAACTTATTTCTAATAAATAGATACATCACGTAAGAGCAGATTTTAGTCTGAAACCTCAAACAGAAGGCAAAAATCAATAAAACATTTTGATCTTATATGTTAGCTGGAGATTGTAGGAAATACCAAAATGTTGGATAGGTTTACAGTTAGCATCAATTTATTCATTCTTTTTTCAGTAATTTATGTTCAATATAGTTTAGATTGCCCGGTGTCCTCATTTGAATTAGTATTTTGTATAAATGCGTGAGTCTAATAATAAGTTGTTCGTACGCGTTTCTCCGCAGCGATTTTATCTATGGCAACGATAAAAGTGAATCGCCTGCGCGTAAATTCTGAAGGCTACACTTGTTAGTAACAGTTATGTACACAAGCTACGTGAAATTCTGGCTAGTTGCTTTAGTAGCATTCGTAGCATTCATAGCATATCCGCTGTTGGACGTGCATTCCTATTTTTGTAGTAAAAAAGCTGTTGCAATGGTTAATCCGAATCTAGTACCAAAGGTGAAATTGAACAACGGCTTGGAAATTCCAATTTTTGGCTACGGCACATGGAGAGTGAGTGAAATATAATGTTTTTGTCTCATTTAAAATAGATAGCTACCTATATCTACTTGACAATACGGTTTCGTGATAATCTTACACTTCTATGTACTGTTACTGCTGAATGATTCTTATTTCCATTATTTTTATTTAATAACTAGCAAACCTTTAAAGCGATTAAACAAAAAGGAAAATTTTCTATTTCCTTTATTATCACGTAATAAAGAACTTCTGAAAATTATAACAAGCTCTATAACTATAATAAAATATACATTGATAAAATATAAATCAACTAATTTTCTTTCAAGGGAAACTATCTTATAAAATGTAAACTTGAATTTTATAAACTATAAAGCGTATAAACACAACAATAAAAATCTTTCGATTATTCTAATGAGTAGGAACTGATCTGGGAAAAGTCTGAGTAAAACTCTAAAAGGTACTTGAAATTTAGTCGCTGGATTTCCCACAATAATCCCATTTCTATACATTAATCAACAATACCTTCACTTTTTCGTAATCGATTTCAGTCTCCACCCGGAGAAGTAAAGCAAGCTGTAAAGGATGCAATAGATGCCGGCTACAGACACATTGATTGCGCATGGGTTTACCGAAACGAAAAAGAAGTTGGTGAAGCGATCAAGGAAAAAATTGATGAGGGTGTTGTCAAAAGAGAAGACCTTTTTATAGTCAGCAAACTATGGAGTACCTTTCACAACCCGAAAGCTGTCGAACCAGCACTTAAGGAGTCCTTAACCGCTTTGGGATTAGACTATTTGGATCTATATTTGATGCATAATCCTTTGGATTTTAAAGTACGAAGACTTTCACAATCGTACAACACGTCTGAATAGACACGTAGAATTTTTTTACAAAATTAATATTGCGTATCATTATTGGAAAGATATGAAGTCAGAGCCAGTAGATAGAGGGAGTAGCAAAATCGCCCAAACCGGCGTCATGTCTACTCCTCTTAGGTATAGGCATCTAATATGATGTGTCTGTGAAATGAATCGCCGCCCTGAGCCTACTTTTCAAAATTTCTGTGAATAAGCGAATTTCCATCGTCTATCAATTTGGCAATTGGAGTAAAAATAGCCTCCAAGTCGGCATTTGGCGGATCAAACGATTGCGCTACTCGCTCTATCTACTGGCTCTGATATGAAGTATACAACCCTTGCCATCTGACGGTATAAAAGTCTTCACTAACAGAATAGAATATTCCTTAGTGCATTTTCCGGAATAAGCCCTTTCTCAACGCACCTTCCTCCAAAAATAGGTGTCCACTTCAAATAAATCACACTACCATCATGCGCCCACTATTAATCTCTCAAACGCATATAGTACAATATTGCGAACTATGAATCAATCATCCCTCTTCGGCATCTTCCTTTTGGGACAAGAATAGAGACTAACCGCATGTATATTTTTGCTCAAGGCATCTTTCGATTACTATGAAGATACGCATGATTCAGTCCAGTTCTAAAGATCTATGGGTTACACCTACTGATCATCAAAGAAAAAAAGAATTTTTATAAAAAAAAATCGTTACAAAACTCGAGAGCTTCATTCTTATAAATAAAACAGATAATTACGAATGTAGGTCACGAATTGTCAGGTATCTCAGGTCCTAATGCATAAAGGTCATACAACAGAAATAATAAATTTTCTATAAGGCAAAAACTAGTATCATTACGTAGTGGAATAGCACTACCTAAAGGTAAAATCTAAAATTACACCAGCTGTAATTACGTTTTTCATCCAAACTCTAAGCACGAAATATACACTCGCGGGAGGGTTGTGCAATGCAAACTGATGAAATTCTAAATCACATACTACCTACCCATAAATGTCGTCAATATTTTATCGATTAAATTGGCATATAAACTATTGATGCATTGCAGCCAGGGAATGAAATATATCCAACAGACGAAAGCGGCAAACTCATTGAAGAAGGTGTTGATTATGTTGATACGTGGAAAGCAATGGAGGAGGTCTACAAGAAAGGGCTCGTCAAATCAATTGGAATATCCAATTGTAATAAAAGGCAGATCGAAAGGATTCTTCAATTGACTACAGTTGTACCAGTTACCAATCAAGTAAGTGATGAAAAGAATCTACAGTAAATCGCTTCTATCTTCAATGGATGTAATATTTATTTCCAATTGGCCAGCATTTTATTTCAGCGGTCAGTATCCTTTTGGATATTATTTAGACCTTGAAGGGTCAGTATTTAAGTCCAAATAGTCGAATTAACGAAAGTTATATGTGGTTTAACTAACTAACGTCATCTATTTATGCTTAACATAAGCTAACTAAACGATTAATTAATTATTTTCTGACTTTTCTTATGTGGAGGTACCTCATCGCCATCATCATGATCATCATTATCGTCAGGTCGGTCGTCAATTGAAAAAAGATTGGTTAGACATACCTTCATTTTTTCCTATCTCGAGCTAATCTTCGTATTTCCCTAAACATCCCATATCCTTACCCATTTGTGAACAGGAATCTAATGTAGGTCTACCTCTGCTCGCTCCTCCCAGCTCCTGGTTCTGCTTCTAGTATGTCTCCGACTAGCCCTTCATGCCTGAGAAAGTGTCCTATCAAACTATTTCGCCCATTTCTTATTGACTTCCATAATAACCTCTGTTCTCCAACACTCTAATCTCCTAATTTCTAACCTTCTCCTCATCATTCGCCTGTAACACACATTTCGAACGCTTCTAACCTTTCCTTTTCCACTGCGCCCATCATCCATGTTTCGTACAAACATATTTAATACCTATTACCTTCAGCTAGTAAGGTTATAAATAATTAATTTAAGAAATAAAATAAGATAGGTGCAATCGGATACAAGGTGCTCAAACGGCGCTTACCACGCTGTTTACAGTAATTCATAGTATTCACATGATTAGTAGGATCTCATTTAGGGCAACGACATTATACTTTTGTATTTTTTGCTAAAGGTTGAGTGCCATCCGTACTTTAACCAAAAGAAGCTCCTTGAATTTTGCAAATCAAAAGGAATTACAATTACCGCATACAGTCCACTTGGATCCCCGTCTCATCCATGGGAAAAACCAGGCGATCGAAGGCTACTAGATGACCCCAAACTAAAAACTATTAGCGAGAAGTATAAGAAAACCCCCGCACAAATAGTAATTAGGTGGCAAATCCAGAGAGGTGTGATAACCATCCCAAAGTCACTTAATAAGAAGAGGATTCAAGAAAACATCGACGTGTTTGATTTTCAACTAACTCCAGAAGATGTTAAGTACATCGACTCTTTAGATTGCAACGGCAGAATATTCCCGTTAGAAATGTAAGTGAATCAGTGCAGAGGTGTAAAATAAAAATCAAAATTAATAACTAGATACTGCTAAAGAGTCAATAAATTCTCCAGGTTATATATGACATTATATAAATTGTCGTAGTGTGATGAAGACAGAGTTTATAAATATAATTATCGATAGCCAGAAGACGTCCTCTGTCTGGTTGTAATACTAACGAAACATTGACTCTTTAACAATGTTTAACATTGCTTTTTCTAAATGTTTTATTCATTTTCTATTGCAGGTGGGCAACACACCGCAATTATCCTTTCAAAGATGAATACTAAATTGAAAATTGGGAGTAACTACCTATTTCACATAAGAAAAGTGACACCTTCGTTTTTACGTAAATTCTACTCAGGTTTTAAAACACAACATGTATTATTGTCGTTGTATTTTATCTATATTTCGTGTTAATAAATGTCGTAATATATGTGTAATATGTACTAAAAATTGCTTATTACATAATATTTTATGTAGAGTCTAATTATTTAACATTTATTATTCTATTTTCGATGGATGAAATTGACAAAATCTTTAAGAAACTTCACTAAAAATCCGTAAAATCCGTTTACCCTTAAATCCTCTTCTAGTTGCTTATTTTCTATTATCAATATATTAATCTAAAAGCAAGCAACTATCTTAAAAAGATCATGTTCATGATCCATAGATCTCAAAAGAGATGCTTCATAGTAAGTTCAATAATAATCAACGTCAATGTATTTGAAACGCTTTCTCATGGGCAACATGACATCCTGGTCAGGTTTTTGTGAAAGTGTGAACATAGCCCATGCTATCAAGTTGTTTTGAATTCAGATTTGGAAATAGTGATACCACAATATAAAGTAAAATTTCATCATCATCATCATCATCATCGGCGGGAGAGAGATGTATGGGCGTGGCTGGGAAGTGAACCTACTGTAGATATTCGTACATCACTTCACTCTGTTTTTTCATCATCATCATCATCGGCGGGAGAGAGAAGTATANTAAATAATTATATTAAAAATTTTGGTGGAGGCGCCGGACACTTTCAAACTAAAGCTATTATTGAGCTATAATTTTGGTTTCATTGACGTAGATTGATGAATTCTCATATTTAAATTACATTTGTTTCATGTAGACACAGTGAGATATGCTAATTTATATTTATTTCTAAAATTTAACTACAACTTCCAATGTAATGTATAGACAACCCAACATACAGCAAATATCACAACGCTAAACTGTCACTGTATAGAATGTTAGAAATTGTTTTTTTTTCAAGAAAATAACTTTCTTACGTAAAACTCAAAGTTATCCTAGAACAAACCACCAAATATTACGAATAGATAATCAATCAATTACTTAATATTAGTAATATTATTACAGGCATATTCTTCTAAAATATAATTGAAAACCATTTGGAATCGCCAGGAATTTATTTAACTACCAATGAAGAGTGTTTAGGTAACCTTTACTATAGAATGTCGTTTTAATGGCTAATGTAAGATAATACGTTATCAGCAATTACTAAATAATTTCAATAAAAATTTTGGTGGAGGTGCCAGACATTTTTAAATTCAAGCTATAGTTGAGTTATAATTTGGATTTCATTGACATAGATTAATGAATATTCATATCTAAATTATATTTCTTTTCATGTAGACGCAGTTAGGGATACTAATTTATATTTATTTCTAAAATTAAACTACAAATTGAAATGTGATGTGTCGACAACCCAACATACACCAAATATTGCAACGCCAATGCTGTAACTATAAGGAACAATCAATGTTCAATCGATTTTCCAGGTAATTCTATCTTTACCAATTTATACATTATGTATTTTAGTCTAAACCAGGAGAGGTAACACAAGCTGTAAAGGATGCAATTGATGCAGGCTACAGACACATTGATTGCGCATGGATTTATGGAAACGAAAAAGAAATTGGTGAAGCTATCAAGGCAAAAATTGATGAGAAAATTGTCAAAAGGGAAGACCTGTTCATTGTCAGCAAGTTGTGGTGTACTTTCCATAAACCGGAAGCTGTCGAACCGGCACTCAAACAGTCATTAACCGCTTTGGGATTAGATTATTTGGATCTGTATTTGATGCATGCTCCGTTTGACTTTAAAGTATGAAGAGATACACACAGTCATTTAATACATCGGGTTAAGCACATACAATTTTTGAATAATTATTATTGTTGCTCCATTTTTGCGGAATTAGCTACCATTGTCACTCAAGTTACACCATACACATATAGAACTGGACCAATCCAGTGTCCAGAAAATGTCTTTGCTTGAAATAAAGGACAGTGTACTATTCGTTAAGGAAGGATCGTGTGTACAGGTGATTCAGTCCAGTTCTGTAAGTCTATGGGTTACACTCATGGTGATGCATTAAAAATGGGGGTTTTGTAATGAATTATGAGATAAAATTATTTGAAAAATTATGAAACTTGAACGAGTTCTATTCTGATGGTTAACAGAGCAATAAAAATAAAGATCACGAATGCCATTTTTCAAAGACTAGATTATAATATATGTACACTTAAAAAAAATAAACAACAGTATAAACCTGTAGAAGAGAATATGAAAAGATTGACGTTTAAACAATTAACGTATTGCAGCCAGGGGATGAAAAATTCCCAAGAGACGAAAATAATCAGGTCATTCCAGAAGGTGTCGATTATGTGGATACGTGGAAAGCAATGGAGCAAGTTTACAAGAAAGGGCTCGTCAAATCAATTGGAGTTTCCAATTTTAATAAGAGGCAGATTGAAAGGCTTCTTGAGTTAACAACAGTTGTACCAGTTACTAATCAAGTAGGTGTTTAAAAGCAGCTGACTGCTATGTTTGCAAATTCTATCACTGTTTGTTCCTAACAAGCAATATAGGTAAAGGTCTAGATGATGGCCCCCACCGCCAAAGGGGGCTGGGGGATCGAAAGAGGAGGTCTCCCTCACCACTGTACCATAAAAAGTTCGTGGCGGTCTCACCCCGATAAAAAGTTATGGGGGTTCAAACTTAATAAATATGCCAATTTTATACATTTCTAGGCATGTAAATATTTATATAGTCATTCTTAAACAATATTCAAAGGTAAAACTAATGAAAACTACATAAAAATATTGAGAAAGTTATATAAAACATTATTTAAATATCTTTATCAATAGGGTAGGTTAGGTTAGGTTA